ATATTCTCAACTGAACTATAATAAATACAAGTATGCAATATTGCAAAGAAGAAATATAACCGAAGAAAAAAAGTAAGAAAGAAAGAAACTGAACTTCTACTGTACATATAATTGTATTACACCAGAATGACTTGTTAATAATTTTAGTTTGAGTATCATATCAGCGTATCAAACTCGCGACCGTTGACCATGCACTGTGCCTGTATTAAAATAATATTAATTCGATTTTTTGTATGTTGTTAATGCATACCTAAGTCTAGTGTGTAGTTTGTCTCCTTCAGCTAATATAGCATTTATTCCAACTGGTGTCAAGTTAGGGTAAGATTTTTGGTGTATAATGGCTGCTAGGGCCATTACATTAAACACCGGCGTACTTTCCGGGTAAACGGAATTGGTTCGTATTTCCGAACGTGTAAGTGAGAGGACCTGGTTAGACAGAGACAGATATAGCAGAAAGATAGATTAGAACAAAAGATAGGAAATCAGATATAGCAGAAAGATAGATTTGAATAAAAGATAGAAAATACAGATATAGCAGAAAGATAGATAAGAAATACAGATAATATTATAGCAGAAAGATAGATTAGAATAAGAGATAAAACATACAGATATAGCAGAAAAATAGATTAGAGTAAAAGATAGAAAATTCAGATAAAGCAGCAAGATAGATAAGAATAAAAAATAGAAAATACAGATAAAGCAGAAAGATAGATTAGAATAAAAGATAGAAAATACAGATAAGGCAGAAAGATACATTAGAATAAAAGATAGAAAATACAGATTGGAAGAAAAATAGATTAGAAAAAAGATAGAAAATATAGTTATGAAAGATAGATTAGAATAAAGATGTGGCAGAAAGATAGATAAGAAACAAAGATAGAAAATACATATATGGCAGAAAGATATGTTAGAATAAAAGATGAAAAAAACAGATATAGAAGAAAGATAGATTAGAATAAAAGATAGAAAATATAGATAAGGCAGAAAGACAGAATAGAATAAAAGATAGAAAAAAAATCAGATTTGACAGAAAGATTTTAGAATAAAAGATAGAAAATACAGATATAGCAGAAAAGAAAGATTAGAATAAAATAAAAAAATACATATATAGCAGAAAGATAGATTAGGCTAAAAGATAGGGAAAAAAAACAGATGCCGCAGAAAGAGTAGATTAGTAAAAAAGATAGAAGATACAGATGTAGCAGAAAGATAGATTAGAATAAAGATAGTTTTAGACTGAAACAGAAATAGACAGAGTAGTATAAATAAGTGATAAGAAGAAGTAAGCAACTGAAAACAGAAGACATTTGAAGAAAAAATAAGAAAGAAGTAAAAAAGTTTTTTTTTCCTTAAGCTCCATCTCCAGCCCACAGATCATATCAAAAATGCTTTCTCTTTTCAAATTCCATAGTGTGACGTCTTATCCCAATGAATCAAACAAGTAATCGTTGTTGGTATTATAATTAACACCATAATAAATGATGTACATCATACAATGATTACAGCATGATCAAATATGACAAAAATCAAATCTATGTACCATTTCCAAGCCTAAGTGTACCTCCGTGTTTGTTTGTATGCACTACTACAGCATTATTTGTGTTATGATCTGCACCTCCACTCTTACAAGAACTCATCTGGAAAGTACATAAAACCTTAACATGGCATCTTAATTGTTGTATGTGATATAGATTGTCAGAAATGTTATCATACTGCAGCAACCTTTTAACACAAAGTTACTAAAATATTTATTATGAATAATAATGCAAAATAATCAGTTAGTACTGCAGTTCAATTTCTTGATTTCCTAGAAGACTTGTCACTTAAGATTCCTTCCAGTCAATGTAAGCACTTGCGGGATAACAGCTGAACAATGCAATTAGCTTAAAGTGAGTCCGTGATGGTTATATTTGTAACATCAAACCCCCCCCCTGGTTTCGTTCTGTGAACTCAGCGCAGGAAAAGGCAGCCACGCATTAAAGCCCCTAGATATGACATAGATCTAGATAATAGAATAAAGGTTATAATAATATTATAAATAACTGAATTAAGGATTAAGGCCTGCAATATTAAATGTGCTTTTTAATTTGGCAAATGAATAATATTTTAGTCTAGATTTAGTATATTATATAAGATTGTAGATGTTATCAAGTTGTGACGTCACAAGGAAGTGACATCCAATAGGATATTTTGACACATTGCTAAACCTAGCAACAGTGATTGGATATAAACCAAATATTCTGATTGGTTGTTCAAAACAAATTTATTTATTTATTTACTGATCTATCAGTATCTATATTTGTTTATTTATATATTCCATAACACACGCTATTTAATAGAATACAGGTCACCTCATAAACAAGTGTTAGGCTTTTAACAATGGCGATGATGATGTTGATGATGACGTTGATGATGGAGCTAAATTTATTCTAATTTTAAATTTGTAATAAATCTGTTTAAAACCTCATGTTTAGGTTCACAACAAGTAATTTTATATAAGATGAATGGGAAACAAATAAGATCTGTGCAAAGGCAAAAAAAATATCAGTATTCAAATTCAAAGGCATGAATGGTCTCTACCTTTGCAATTACCTTGTACCATACAAAGTAGACATATAACAATAATATCATGTATTAATTTATACATCTGTAAACACTAACATAAATCATCGGTTATATAAGGGCTTTTGTCATATGATATAGCGTACTTGTAATTGTTAATCTTATTCTATTATCAATACGGTCATAGACAAAATACTGCCAACACTTATTCTATTACCAATACAACCATAGACAAAATACTGCCAAACCTAATTTCCCTCAGTAAACGTAATCCATCTTAAATAGTGTTGTTCTATTGTTCCCTCTGCTAATAATACACTTTAATATCAAAATTATCAAAATAACACTTTTAAGATTTATGAATTAATTGTTGTATACCCATAAAATACATACTCTCGTATAAGTGATTCCTATCAAAATTTTAAGTAGTATATTTTAAACTCTTTACCTTAATAAAATAATTTTCCATGGAAATTTATGTCATCATACCTGTAAGTTGTAACTATTTTCCACATTTCATAACGGTAAAATTACGTGATCCTAAGCATGCCATTTTATAGCATGCGACTCATCTGAAATGAAATTTCCGGCACGGAGACACCAGTCTGATATACAATAAACATTTTTCTCATTTTATTTCCTGGATTTGAAATATGTTTATGTGTTCTTGAGATATCTTTTTCTATTTCTTTCTGACCGTGGTTCTAGCCGTTTATTTTGAATGTTTTCATTACGTACTTATTATTTTTTATTTATAATCTTAAAATTTTAGTAATGAAAAAATATGCTATAAAAGCCACTTGAGTTATCGACTTATCTTTTATTCTGTGTATCATTTTGAGATTATAAAGGGCAACAATATCTTTTAGATAATTCTTGTTTGTGTACGATGGGTTATCTCTCACCTTTCCAAATAGGATATACCACAAGCGGAGGGAACTCAAGCCTAATTTCATTTTTTTTTCAATATTAATTCACCGGTGCTACCGTTACATCAAATAACGTTACAATTACATCTATTGTCTATCCGTGGCCAATTATTGAATGTGCTTTTTAGCGTTTTAGGTATTACCTTTTTTCCTTATATCTAACCTGTACGAGTTTGACAACTTAAAGCGATTCGTCTGTTATGCTTGAAAACTCTTACCTGTTCTTCAACCGTGTTTGCTTTAAGAATCATATTCTTACTTGTAGGAATACAATAATATGAATTAAAGCATTGTATAATCTTTTATAAACGTGAAAGAATATTCGTACATTTTAATCAGTTATTATAGAAATAAAAGTGATATCATAACCTTTATTCAAAGAGACAAGTAATACATATATTAGGTTACCCTGATCACCTTTTATCAGTAATCATTTGTGTCATTTGATATTTACATAAATGATAACGCAACGAAAAGGCTATCGGTTTAAATCGGTCAAGGATAAAGATTTGTTAAGGTTGTTGCTCTTTCTTTCTTTCTTTCTTTCTTTCTTGCTTTCTTTTCTTTTAATTAATAAATGAATGAATGAATGAATGAATTAATTAATTAATGAATTAATTAATTTATTAATTTAAAACTAATTACAAAGACAATAAATGCAGAGTTAAAGCTATGATATATGAGCAAAACTTCCCTATGAACATGACACACATAATTCAGTTCTGAAATGGACGACGGAATGAAACATAAGTAACATCATAAAATTGCTATATAACCAGTACAAAAAGACATGTACTATATCACCTTGATTATTTCGTTATCCGAAGCCGTGCGCGTCATCTGATTTTTAAGTTACAACTTTTACCAGATAAGTAAATGATATCATATCCAGAAAAAGACAAGTCATTTTAGATCATGAGTATTTGTAAAAAATATTAATGTAGGTCGTCAAAAGTCTTTCAATGATTTGTTTGGGTTTTTAGTTTGTTATTCACGTCATTTTAACTAAACTAAGTGATCTAGATTATCGTGTAAGCCATTATTTTGAGCCAAAACAAGTAATGATTAATATTATAACAGATATATTGTCGTAAATTAGTTATAAATAATGCAAGAAACACACGAAGCACTCCGAGGGCTTCCAAGTTAACAGTTACTCTGTAGAAAATAAACACTATCGACATAAATTTTTTTAGATTTCTCTTACACAGAAATCTTACACACAAGTCCTGATTTTGTTATCAAATACAGCTTGTATTATTATGTTGTATTTTTATGTCAATGGTTTTAACCACGTGAAATGACTAATTGCGCATTTCGTTTAACTGTAAATCAACGTCACATGAGATGAATATGTAAATTGAGATTTGATTGTGTATAAAACTTTGTAAAAAAAGGAAGGAAGAATAGGATATAACAACAGCACACAATGGGAAATAAATTCGCTGCTGACGTGTTCAACCATCCCAATAAGTGAGGGAAATTATGGTATCATAATCGAGAAAACACTGTGGCTTAAATTATTTATTTTCAACCAAGCAAAAAAGAAGAAAGTAGCAAAATATAAAATAAAAATAATAAATAGATAATGTACCTTTGAACATGAGATATTTGATTTGGTTATTGGAAACAAACTATAAATTGATATCCTACTTGAATCGGTCATAACAATTAATATAACATGTTTTCCTAAGGTCTCAAAGCCATTGCGTTTGAAAAACATATAAAACCAGAAAACTTTAACCAAGCGTATTATTTGCATATGAAATAAAAGCACAAAAGAAAGAAATTACATTTTGTACAGTCTAAATAATCTATTAACAGAACCACACTTAAAACAAACAAAAAACGACAGCAAAAACAAATACAAAAACGCTTCATTTACAGTTCATTCAATATCCTCTTCTAAACATAATGATTAAGAAATAATCAAATTATTGTCATTGTTCAGAAATATAATATTGAAGTCATTCATAAAGAAGTGTTTCTTTCCGTGGTTTTCGCCCTTGTCTATTTTTCTTCTTTTGCAAGAATCAGGTCACGGGATGCGAGTTTCAAACATCCTGGTGGCTTATCCTTCTTGAATCGGTCATAACAATTAATATACACATGTTTTCCTAAGGTCTCTAGGCCATTGTGTTTGAAAAACATATAAAACCAGAAAACTTTAACCAAGCGTATTATTTGCATATGAAATAAAAGCACAAAAGAAAGAAATTACATTTTGTACAGTCTAAATAATCTATTAACAGAACCACACTTAAAACAAAAAACGACAACAAAAACAAATACAAAAACGCTTCATTTACAGTTCATTCAATATCCTCTTCTAAACATAATGATTGAGAAATATTCAAATTATTGTCATTGTTCAGAAATATAATATTGAAGTCATTCATAAAGAAGTGTTTCTTTCCGTGGTTTTCGCCCTTGTCTATTTTTCTTCTTCTGGAAGAATCAGGTCATGGGATGCGAGTTTCAAACATCCTGGTGGCTCCTTTATATCCTACTTGAATCGGTCATAACAATTAATATACACATGTTTTCCTAAGGTCTCTAGGCCATTGCGTTTGAAAAACATATAAAACCAGAAAACTTTAACCAAGCGTATTATTTGCATATGAAATAAAAGCACAAAAGAAAGAAATTACATTTTGTACAGTCTAAATAATCTATTAACAGAACCACACTTAAAACAAAAAACGACAACAAAAACAAATACAAAAACGCTTCATTTACAGTTCATTCAATATCCTCTTCTAAACATAATGATTGAGAAATATTCAAATTATTGTCATTGTTCAGAAATATAATATTGAAGTCATTCATAAAGAAACATTTCTTTCCGTGGCATTCACCTTTGCCTAATTTTCTTCTTCTGGAAGAATCAGGTCATGGGAAGCGAGTTTCAAACATCCTGGTGGCTCCTTAAGTCCGACATGGTTACAACATGGCCAGTACAAATAAGCATGAGGGTTTGCATTGACCAAATCCAAGTTGTGTCCGCCAACTTCAGCTTGTTTCTTCCATGTCTATAAACAAAGCTTATGTCATTTATGTCTATAAACAACGCTTATGTCAGTAAATATGTATACAGTTAGACACGATGTTACGATACATGCTACAAATGTTGTATTAAATAACTCATCTGGTATATCTTTACCAGCAAATGTGAAATGTCAGTCATTTGTTCATATCCTTAAACACCCCTAAAAGTGGCTCTTTTAAATTTGGTGATCTGTATAATTGAGAGCCCTCGATAAGACAAAAAAAATGTTCTACGTTGCATAGCATTCTTCGATTTTTGAAAAACAAGCAAATCCTTTGAAAACGAAAATTTTTAGAAACTGTCTTTACCTTTTTCAGCTTTGTTTTGTGCGAGCGCTCTACAATGGAAGTATCGAGGGCTCTCATTTAAACAGATCACTAAAATGTGAAATGGCCACAGTTGAGTAGGTCGGTTTATTTGGAGTCAGTAAACATAGGTTGATAAGTTAATATGCTATTCCAAAAAGATTCATTACAATTATTATTATAATCTTTATTATAATCATCATCATCATCATCATCATCATCATTATCATAATCATCATCATGATCATCATCATCATCATCATTATTATTATTATTATACAGAAAACCATTCTATGTAAGAAATTATACCCAGGTGTTCAATTGTGTCTAAAATAATGCGCAGAGAGTGTTCCTTTGCCAGTAACAGTATGCCTTTAAAACCAACGTAGAAGTTCAATAATAAAATGAAGTAGTCATATGATATAATGATGTAGTTATTCGATATAATGAAGAAGTCATTTGACATTTTGAAGTAATCATGTGATGCAATGAAGTAGTCATATGATATTATGATGTATAATGAGTTTCTGATATTTTACCTTCCATGGTTGTGGCGATGACTTATGGAAACGACACTGAACTTCATGAGGCCTCAGCCGGTCGAATACAGTCATACAATTTTTGCATTTCTGTAGAACAGTCGGTGATTGGGAAAATACACGCCGTCTCCGCTTTGAAAGTGGGATCAAGCAGCTTACGTTGTTTTGTTCTAATTTAGCTTCACCAGAACGAAACTATTGATGTATCAGAGATAAATAATTTTGGTTACCATTTAATTTTTACACAAAAAAAGAAGTCGGGGAAAAAACATATCGAATATGATAAGAAAAGTTCAGATTTGACTCATGAAAAGGGGTGACTTATTTTCTTTACTTATGACATCTTTTATTTGTTTGTATATACATGTACATGTATTGATAAGTTAATATACCTTTATACTGGAATTCTTTCTTCGGTTTTCTTCTTTTTCTTTTCTTTCGTTCTCGTATTTTCCTTGCCAATACGATACTTCCAGCATCATCTGTTCTTCCTGACAGATACAATGAACGTATGCAGAAAAATTATCTTGACTAACCCCATAATATGCCCGAAATCAAAAGAGTTTAACCTTTGCCATCATAAAAGAGCCAGGCCAGACGTAGAGTCTGACCAGGTTCTATACTGTTGGCAGCTCACCTTTGTCAAACTCCCTGAAAATTCGAACTGTCCTTAATTCAAATGTAATGCAAATCCGTATCATAAATTAATCAAGTTAATGGCAAAAGGGGGTTTATCAATATCATTTTCTCTCAAACACTGTTGAACATGTTAAATCTAATAAATCATGATTTCTTTGACTGGTCAATAAGTATACGAATTTATTATTTTCGAGGATTCCCAATTTCCACATTTTTCACAACAATATTAACACTTCGATCAAAACATTTTGTTATCAATTCACAAATAAAAGTACACAATACACTTTATACATTTTATCACGCTTTAGTATGTAATAGTTTCATACCAGGAAGAATAAATGAAATCATTGACAATTATGAATTTATACGAATGTAAACAAGTTTAATATTTCAATATAATGGCCATGTATAAGATAAAATGTAAGAGATCTTATTACCTTTTCCTTTGCATCGTTACAAATCTTCAAAATCTGTGTGTTAAGATATTCCAGTTTATCTTTGTAGCCATCAATCTCCTTTGTATATCTTACTGCCTGTTCTTTTTGAAACTCCAGATCCTCAAATAGTGTCTCCCTATTCTCTTCGATCGCTACTTTTTCAGCTTGTACTCTAACGAGCTTTTCTAATACAGCACTTTTGTTTCTCTTTATTACTTCCTTTTCCTGTAGCTTGGCATTCTGTGATGTAACTATACCCTCAAGTTCTCTAATTCTCTGGCGGAGTTGCTGTTCAACCTCACTTTCATGAATCGCATTAGATTCCTCATTATTGCTTTGCTGAGCATTTGGTGATGATTCATGGTCATGATCGGGTTGTCGGACCTCTCGGAGGTCAATGTACCCGCTAGACATGTTGACCTCGGCCCTGATAAATGTTCAATATATCTCAATACCCAGTATTCTCTACAATAAGTCCTGGATAAGTTTTAACAAAGTGTGAAGTTTTGAGAAAACTTTAGAATTTATATCCGTAAAATGATATCCCAACCATGTCTATTTATAGACAATTCGTAATAATTTTTCCCCACGGAAAGTACTAATAACGTCATTGTGTTTGAGAGACCGGTGTGTATATAATGCCTATAACGTAGTGTTTAATCCTGACTTCAAAATATGTTGTTTGAAGTCAGAATTAAACCAACCCTTACGTTATGATTTAAAAATCTATATACTTTGGGCGATAAAGGCATACAATTTCTGTGTTATAATTATAATAGTTACTTCACGGTTATTAGGTTAATTTAAACGTAATAAATTACACTCTTTAAAATCTTTCCTGATTTTGGATATATCACATGTCGGGCATAATCGTAAAACGACAAAGGTTACAATACATTGTTTATGTGTTGTTATTTAAGTCCCCAATACATTGTTCAAGTGTTTTGAAAAGCAATTGTTGTTATGGTTGTTGTTGTTGTTTGATCTTGTGTTACCTTTCAATACTTGTAAACGAAAGAAAAATATAATTATCATACCAAATTACCTAATTGTGAGGATGATCCGTGTACATTCTCGACTTGGCATGAAATCATTGCTAAAACTAATATTAGAAACTGTTGAATATTTTGTTAGGGGACGTGTTTTAAAGCTTTCATGTATAATTTATGTGCGCATATTTCGCCAATGCATAGCCTGTACAATAATTTTCTATAATGAATAATTTGTCAGAGTCTTTTTATATTGTTTTCTTACCTTATTCATATAGGAATAGTTCATCAGTACATAGTTTAACATTATTTGGTTACAACTATTACACTTTCTATTAATAGATTACTGTTCAGTAAAATTTCAATAATGAACTTTTGTGATTGTGTCACAATATATTTCATGATACAATAATGTATAATGGCATGGGTAGAATTGATTAATACATCACTACATTGTAAAAACCAGATGTGCTGTTGATAAAGATAATTTATATGTATACGTACGCGTTTGTCGCTCAAATATACATTATGTTTTTAGATTTATCATTGACGTTCATGTTTCGTATATTCAAATATTTATTTAAAGTTAACAATAAGCCCACCGCGTTATTAGCGCTCTTATTAAAATATTTGAAGATTTGAACAACTAATTTTTAAAGCTTGCTCGACTTAAGTTGGTACGATGGAGCAATTTTAACAAAGAAAACATTATCAATCATTTTTAAGTGTTGTATTTAATATCATTGCATGAAAAACTTTGTGAGTAAGCGGTGGATTTGACTGGAGTTCGTGTTTTCCTTTCTAGTAAAATCTATTATGGTAACGTCTCCGAATCTGCGTATTCTATCATGTTGTTTTCAAGAAAGTTACTATATATACATTTGAATATTTTTTAACAGAACTGACTAGAAATTGGCAAGGCTTGACATATACATATGAAGAATGGTGGCAAAGATTTTATTGAAACTGTGTTTTCAATGAAACTTAAGAAAATTTGAATAAACAGTTCACTTAACAAAACGTTACGACTTTTGTTTCAAATTTATCTGTTATATTTTATCGTATGTACTACAATGATATCAAGTTTCTTACATTTTGATAAAAAATCCACGCACATTAAAAAAAGACAATATACAGAACATATGGCAATTGTTTGTAAAATCATATCTACTCTAATGCGAAATTATAACACATCAGTTTGTGAGACACAGACTGTTGGTCATACTATTATTATATATTTTCAAAACTTTTTTTCTCTACACGTCATATGAAAGGCAATATATACAAGGGATAAACACAGTACACATATATAAATTGTTGGGTTGTTTAATGATTGCTGGCGTTCTGTGATTTTATCAATACAAATAAATTGAATTTTCGTCATACCTGAAAGACACAACCACGTTAAACGTTTTCATTCCTTGCCTGTTAAGATAAAAGTGGGATATTTCCCCACCTACAAAAAATTAGTAAAGCAAGCTAGTGCATACAATACTTTCAGACATGACCCCCTAATTGGCACTGTAAGGAACTGTAAAAATGATAATAAAGTTGAGTAATGCGCGACAAAGGAAATCGGTACGCAACATTTGACCAATAATCAATCGAGGACAGTGATTAAACAACGAGTAATGAGTTTTTTGTATAGTTCATATATTTTTATGTTTTTTGGCATACATTTTGTATAATATTATATTGTAAACATTGTCATTTATAAGGAAGCATAAGTCTTGTTTCTGTCTCCTATACTAAACAAGAGGGCCATGATGGCCCTGGATCGCTCACCTGGCACAACCGCATCTAAGCAATGTCTTAAACAAGCATCATGGCCAAGTTTGATGACAACTGAGTCAAACATGTGACCTCTAGTGTGTTATAAAGATTTTTCCATATTTGGGCAATGTGACCTAATTTTTGACCGGACACGACCCATATTAAAACTTGACATAGAAATCATCAAAACAACCTTCCTGACCAATTTCCAAGAAATTTGGATCAAAACTGCAGCCACTAGAGTGTTAAAAATATTTTTCTAGTTTTAGCTCCTGTGACCTAGTTTTTAACCGGACATGACCAATCTTAGCACTTGACCCAGAAATCATCAAAACAACCTTCCTGACAAATTTCCAGAATATTTGAATTAAAACTGCAGCCACTATAGTGTAAACAAGCTTTTTCTATTTTTAGCTCCTGTGACCTAGTTTTTGACATGAGATAACCCATCTTCGAACTTGACCTAGAAATCATCAAAACAACCTTCCTGACAAATTTCCAGAATATATGAATCAATATTGCAGCCCCTAGAGTGTTAACAAGCTTTTTCTATTTTTAGCCCCTGTGACCTAGTTTTTGACCGAAGATGACCAATCTTCGAACTTGACCTAGAAATCATCAAAACAACCTTCCTGACAAATTTCCAGAATATATGAATCAATATTGCAGCCCCTAGAGTGTTAACAAGCTTTTTCTATTTTTAGCCCCTGTGACCTAGTTTTTGACCGAAGATGACCAATCTTCAAACTTGACTTAGATATCATCAAAACAACCTTCTTGACAAATTTCCAGAATATTTAGATGAAAACTGCAGCCTCTAGAGTGTTAACAACCTTTTTTTAGCTCCTGTTACTTAGTTTTTGACCGGACATGTCCCATCTTCAAACTTGACTTAAATATCCGGACACGACCCATATTAAAACTTGACCTAGAAATCATCAAAACAACCTTCCTGACCAATTTCCAAGAAATTTGGATCAAAACTGTAGCCACTTAAGTGTTAAAAATATTTTTCTATTTTTAGCTCCTGTGACCTAGTTTTTAACCGGACATGACCAATCTTAGCACTTGACCCAGAAATCATCAAAATAACCTTCCTGACAAATTTCCAGAATATTTGAATCAAAACTGCAGCCACTATAGTGTAAACAAGCTTTTTCTATTTTTAGATCCTGTGACCTAGTTTTTGACACGAGATGACACATCTTCGAACTTGACCTAGAAATCATCAAAACAACCTTCCTGACAAATTTCCAGAATATATGAATCAATACTGCAGCCCCTAGAGTGTTAACAAGCTTTTTCTATTTTTAGCCCCTGTGACCTAGTTTTTGACCGAAGATGACCAATCTTCAAATTTGACTTAGATATCATCAAAACAACATTCTTGACAAATTTCCAGAATATTTAGATGAAAACTGCAGCCTCTAGAGTGTTAACAACCTTTTTTTTTAGCTCCTGTGACCTAGTTTTTGACCGGACATGTCCCATCTTCAAACTTGACTAAAATATCATCAAAACAACATTCTTGAAAAATTTCCAGAATAATTAGATGAAAACTGCAGCCACTAGAGTGTTAACAAGCTTTTTCTATTTTTAGCTCCTGTGACCTAGTTTTTAACCGGACATGACCCATCTTCAAACTTGACCTACATATCATCAAAACAACTTTCCTGACAAATTTCCAGAATATTTGGATGAAACCTGCAGCCACTAGAGGGTTAACAAGCTTTTTCTATTTTTAGCTCCTGTGGCCTAGTTTTTGACCGGAGATGACCCATCTTCGAACTTGACCTAGATATCATCAAAACAACCTTCCTGACAAATTTCCAGAATATTTGGATGAAAACTGCAGCCACTAGAGTGTTAACAAGCTTTTTCTATTTTTAGCTCCTGTGACCTAGTTTTTGACCGGAGATGGCCCATCTTTGAACTTGACCTAGATATCATTAAAACAACATTTCTGACAAATGTCCAGAATATTTTGATGAAAACTGCAGCCTGTAGAGTGTTAACAAGCGTTTTCTATTTTTAGCTCCTGTGGCCTAGTTTTTGACCCGATATAACCCATCTTCGACTTCGATCTGTATTTCATTAAGACAAACATTTTGACAAAGTTTGATGATGATCCAATCAAAACTGTGACTGCTAGACTGTTAACAACCCAATTGTTAAGAGTGTTAACAAGCTTTTTCTATTTTTAGCTCCTGTGACCTAGTTTTTGACCGGAGATGACCCATCTTCGAACTTGACCTAGATATCATTAAAACAACCAACCTTCCTGACAAATTTCCAGAATATTTGGATGAAAACTGCAGCCTCTAGAGTGTTAACTAGCTTTTTCTATTTTTAGCTCCTGTGACCTAGTTTTTGACCCGAGATAACCCATCTTCGAACTCGATCTGTATTTTATTGAGACAAACATTCTGACAAAGTTTGATGATGATCCAATCAAAACTGTGACTGCTAGACTGTTAACAACCCAATTGTTGACGACGCACGACAGACGACGCACAACGCACGACGCACGACGCCGGACGCCGGACATAGCCCCATCACTGTACCTCACCTTGACCACTTCGTGTGAAGTGAATTTATCTATAATGGAATGTTTAATGTGAGTCTTTATAAGACGGCGTAGCCCTCCGAGTATAAATCAGATTGCTTGAAATAACGCCGAGTGTTTTGATGTTCTTTCTTTTTTTGTATTGTAATTTGGAGACCTTTCAATCGGAGAAAATCAGAGTTAAATCATGTACTAATACATGCACAGTGTGTTGATTGCACTCC